GCCACACAGGTCAAGAGGCAGGTCTTGCTGTGCTGCACGCCGCAAAGCTTCCAACATCATCGTGACGGGGGCGAAATACTATCGCTACCCAGATTGATGGAAATAAGGTTTTGCCGAGAGCTTTGCGCTTTTTAGGGGTTGGGCACCCGTCCCACCCTTTGGCTGAGCCCTTCTAAAAATTTAGGCCGCTGCACAGGGTTAGTTAAGATTTAGGGCAGGTTCCTAACCCGACAAGCTGAAGCGGCTTGGTATAGCCAAAGGGTAGGGGATCCCAAAACCTGCAGAGGGGGAGTCATAGCCAAAAGCCCGAGATCCCAGCTGGGAGGCCAACACTCGCCAAGCGAGCTTCGGGGGGGGGCTTGCTTGTGCAGTTGTGGGTTTGGTTGTGCCTGTTTTGCCAAGGTTTTCTGTACTTGGGTGACGAGACTCACGCAGTCAACGCTCGGCGTGGTGGCCTGCCGGTAAAGCCACCCTTGTCACCTGTTCAGTCTGCCTATGCCGCCGCCATCTGTGTTTGAGCGCACACGCACTGTGAACATGCCTTCCACGTCTCGCCTTACAGCCAGCTGTAGAAAAGGCAGGTCTTGCTGTGCTGCACGCCGCAAAGTTTCTAAGACCATCGTGACGGGAGTGCGAAATACTATCGCTACCCAGCTTGATGGAAATAAGGTTTTGCCGAGAGCTTTTGAGCTTTTTAGGGGTTGGGTACCCGTCCCACCCTTTGGCTGAGCCCTTCTAAAAAGTTAGGCCGCTGCACAGGGTTAGTTAAGAATTAGGGCAGGTTCCTAACCCGATAAGCTGAAGCGGTTGTGCTTGGTATAGCCAACGGGTAGGGGATCCCAAAGCCTGCAGAAGGGGAGTCATAGCCAAACGCCTGAGATCCCAGCTGGGAGGCCAACACTCGCCAAGCGAGCTTCGGGGGGGGGCTTGCTTGTGCAGTTGTGGGTTTGGTTGTGCCTGTTTTGCCAAGGTTTTCTGTACTTGGGTGACGAGACTCACGCAGTCAACGCTCGGCGTGGTGGCCTGCCGGTCAAGCCACCCTTGTCACCTGTTCAGTCTGCCTATGCCGCCGCCATCTGTGTTTGAGCGCACACGCACTGTGAACATGCCTTCCACGTCTCGCCTTACAGCCAGCTGTAGAAGAGGCAGGTCTTGCTGTGCTGCACGCGCTAGTTGTGAGTTTGTGTTTTTGATTCAACTGTGTTTTCTTATCTGTGTCGAAACCTTCAAACGCTCCGCGCTGCTTTCGGCACCAGCACAACTAGTGTTCGCTTTCTTGCATCGCATGCATAAGAAATTTTTCAAACAACAACACACGCGATTTCATCCTTGCTACGCATTGCATGGCAGTTTTCCGCCATACCGACGCCATGGATCCGCCCGAGGCAGCCACCCCGGACCAATTGGTCCGCGCACTGCAAAGCCTCGCAGAAGATTGCATTGAAATGGGCGCATCGATTCATGAGCGCATAGACGCACTCTCTGACCGCATTCAGGCGGTCCTTGCAAAGCTCGGCAGCCTGGAACGCCGCATTGCAATCCTTGAAGGCGCACCGCAATGCACGGATACTGTTGATTCGCCGCTAGAAGAGATGGACTAGCACGCACTGCATACGCGCAGCCTTTACAGCTTTACAGCTTTCTTGCTTGCATTTCCTGTCCCTGCCATGTCACAGCGCGTGGGGAACAAGAAGCAACGCACCGCCAGGGCTATAGAACGATCGCCGGAGCCCTCGCACAGCCATAGAGCAAGAGTGGAAGCATGGCTCGCAGAGTGCATGGCAATGCCGGCCAGTGAGGTTAGCACCCCACCTGTATTCCCCAACCTTGTGGAATTATTTATATCGCCTCGCACAGCCAGCTTTGTCTTCAGCAGCCTTGCTTGGAATGATCGCAACGCATTTAGCATTTGTAGTCTATCAGCAAACCGCCGAGCTGCACTACTCTGGAATCTCAACTGACCTCGCTCAGCCTTGAGGAGCCTTCGGCCTCTTCATCGATGCCACGCCTTCACAGCCACGCCCGGCAGGCGGAGGCCCTGATGAGCATCTACATCGCACAACCAAGCAGATCTGACCTTGCAACGCTTTCTATCGCTGAGCTCAAGGAGATTCTGCTTTCCCAACGCACTGCAAGCTTTATTTTGAGCAGCCTTGCATGGCACGAACGCAAAATCATAAGTCAGCTTTGCAATGCAGTGCACCGCACCGCCAACAGCTTGTGGTTTTTATCGAATCATGATCGACACATTGCCAACGCAGCTCTGAACAGATACAGCTCATAGCCCTGCACAGCAATGCTTGCGACGCCCCGCTCAGCCTGGGCCTGGCTCACCATTGCATCCATTTTCGTCGCATGGCGCCAGCAACTGCAACGCAGGTTGCAACGCACCGCACGCGGTGCACGGCGGCGTTTCGACGTTTACAGGTATCGGCTCTTGCGCTTTACCTTCACCGCACTGCAGTGGAATGCAATGCATTTCGGCGCTTTTGCATTGGATGCTATGCACCGCAGTTCCCGGCAAGGCACCGCCACACAAAGTCCCAGCACTGCAGAGCACAGCTCATGGCGCAAGACATGGACATCGCTGGATAGCCATATTGTATTTTATTTACTCAGGCACTTCGCATATGCAGAAACTCGAGCATTGCGAGCCACTGCATCGACATTGCACCGCAGAATACAGAGCGTTATGCAACGCACAGGTACCATCGATTTGGATGGACGCACTGCAATGGTTTGGCTCCGCCAACATGATCACGATGTTTTCGCACAGATCTTGCCACCATTTTCTTTCAACCCGCAACGCAGCACGCTCTGCGTAGTCGAGTTCATTGATTGATGATTTTTGCAACGCATTGCACAGCCACGCATAGGGAAATAGAACGCCTTGCTTCATGATATTTCCTTTGCAAGTTTGCCTCAAGCTTGCTGTTTTGTGCTGGGCTCGCATAGCCTCGCATCGCATTGTCAGGTCAGCCGCGCTGCACCCTCAGGCCAGTCCAGCTGGTCTCTTCTTCGGCAGTTGCCGCGCCTGGCAGGTCACATGACAGCATCAGCCCAGCAAGGGCCCCAGAGAAGCCTCTTCTCTGCTTTCTTTGCGCAGCCTTTTGCCATGAAGGCCCCTTTTTGCCTGGCCACGCAGTGCCCAGCTCAGCAAAGCTTTAGCAAGGCCTCACTTGCTACCGGCAAATCATCGCTGCCCCGCCAAGGTCACGACTACAATCTCGACTCGGAACCTCAGTCGCTTGCGCCAAGCCTTTTTTGCAACCCCTAAGCCCCCGCCTGGCCCTAACACGCACTGCCCAGGTCCTGGATTTCTACCACATCGACATGCGAGGACCGCTCAAGCCCTGCATCTGCATCGTGTTGCACTGCCTTCGTTGCCTGGGTGTTGTCTCGCACTGCACAACTACACATGATGTTGCATAGCTGTTTGATCAAGCATTCTCGCTTTTGCATTGCACCGCATTGCCTTCGCATCGCCTCGCCTCGCATCGCATAGCAAGGCATGGCCGGAACGAGCACAGCACTGCAAGCACTTTTGCAGGCGCCTCGCGAGCAGCGCATCGGTGCCTTTCGTAGCCTCGGCTACAGCAGAATCGACGCACTGCAGAGCGAGCTCAGCGAGGCCCGCCTGACCATTTTTGGTCCTGCAGAGCCCGCAACGGCCGGCACCGCACCGCAGAGCGCAGCAGCAGCAGCAGCAGCCGCACCGCCCCCCACAACCACCATCCCAGCCAAAGCACCTCCCGGGACAGGGCCCCCAGCAAAGCACCAAGCCCAGCCTCCCCCCCCAGCACAGCAGGGGCAACCCGCACCGCCTCCGGAGCCCACACCGCCGGCATCGCCCCGCACTACGCCTCGCAGAGAGCGGGAGCACACGCCGCGCCGCAACCGCACACCGCCTCGCCCCAGGTGGAGCGATGTGGAAGACGACTGGGGGTCTTCTGCTCCTAGCACTGCCATGCCCTCGTCACTGCACTTCGGACAAATGGGGGGGGCCCCGGAGTTTGGCAAAGGCTGGGGGAAGCAAGAATGGGGCCCCCCCCAACATGCACCGCCTTTTGCACAGCAGATGGCATACGCCCCTCTCACAGCAGCACCACCGCCCTGGCAACAGCAACCCGCACCGCAGCAATGGCACCCTGCCCAGCCCTGCCCCGCCGGCTGGGGATACCCTCCCCCGCCACCGCCACACGCAACGCAACGCCCGGCCTCGCGCCGCGTGGCACTGTCCCCGCACATCCACTGCGAGGTGAAGTGGTACATCTCACCCCTAGGTGATGAGCGCCCTGCCTACAAAAGCGCCAAAGGCGACTGGCTCTGCGCGGCAATGTGTGAGACGAATTGTAAGTTTGGGGGGGCGGCCTGCAACAAGAAGTTGCGGTTCCCCCCCCAACCGACGGCCATGCACCGCACCGCTGCAGCAAGTGCAAAGAAAGGGATGATCAGGACTCGGATTGAGCCACCTGACATCCTTGCACCGCCCCGCATTGCATCATATCTGACCGTAGCCTAGCCTTAATGATAATGGACAAGCATCATTATGCTTTAGCCTAGCATCGCATCGCACTTGCAGTGGTTTTTGAAATGCACGGCAGCATCGAACTGCCCCGACTGCCGCGCCCGGCAGCCAGCAAAAAAGCACTGCCACGGCACTGCACTTCCTATATAGCAAGCCGTCGCTACGCAGCTATGCTCACTTTTGTCAGGACAGAAGCCCTGCACTGCCTGGCAAGGCCTCACTGTTGCACTCACGGGTGTGCCACTTGCCATGCAAGCAAGCCTGTCAGGACCACCGGAACGAGCACGTCCAGGTGTTCTCGGCCAGGCAATGCCTGGCCCCTCAGGTTGGCCCGGCCCTGAATGCACAAGTCAGCTCTGTCGCTTCAGCTCAGTTGCCATTTCTGCATTGCACAGCACAGCATGGCACACACAACCCGCAAGCAACGCACAGCATCTCCCGCAGCCTTTTTTCTGCTCAAACGGTTCAAACCATGAGACGTCGTTGGGCCCTGCAAAGCCAAGATCGCACGACCACCGCACCTTCCTCTCCAATCGAAGTGGAGTCTCAGCCAGCATCGCCTCCCAGGAGCATCGCCGAAGATTTTGAGGCACATCTGGCCGCGCTGGCTTCAGAACCTGCACCGCCTTGCTCCGACTTCATAGAAGACCCTGCAGCTATACAGCCTTCCATTGCACAGGTCTTCCAACGGCAACGACTGTTGCAGGCGTACCCAAAAAATCCGCCCAACGCCAAGCACAGCCATGGCGACCTTCCAACAGTCGCTGACTTGATAGTGGGCCCAACCACAGCTCGGGCAACGCCCAGGCGGAACACATTTTACCCGCCGGTCCCGCAGGCGGATAGAGCATTGCACATAGCACCGCCGCCGAAAAGATATCGGCCCGAGCCGGCACTTCAATTTGGCGGCCTGCCAGTACCGCCCCCTCCATCGCTGCCGCGCAGCCTTGCAGGATCCACTGCTACGCAAATCATCCCGCACAGCTCTCTTAAAAGCCCTCCGGCCACGCCACGACCGCCGCCGGCATCTCAGACTCCGCTTGCGCCTCCCAGGCCGCGCACAGTCAAATTCAGGACCGTGCGCAGCTCCCTAGCATCGCGCATGAACATATGCGGTACGCTTTGGCTGCAGCTAGTGTACAAGCTAGGCAAAGCCTCGCATCTCTTGCAATCGGTGGAAGCAGCCAAACAAGCATCGGACCATATTATGGCAGTAATCCGCAACAACACACCAGGCACGCTGGAGCGATATCTCCGCATTGCATCGCTATTCATGGACTTTCTTGGCAGCTCCGCAATCAGCTTTCTCGACGTCAGCCTGCATTGCCTACTCGATTTCCTCGCCCTAGCCAGAGCATCGCACAGCCAAGACCTTGAGATCCATCGCATCAGCGCCGCTTCCTCTATCAAAGCCCTTCGCTGGTTCGTAAGGCAAACGCAATGGTCATGCCTTAGCAACGCACTAGAAAGCCCGATTATACGGGCCTATTCTCTCAAAGGCACTGCCAAAGACCGTCGCGAAGCACTGCCCATCCCCTGGGCGCTAATCGCTGCCTGGGAGCAGCGCGTTTGTGACCCAAACGCCCCCGTCGCATCTGTCGTCGTCCTGGGGGCTGCACTGCTCGCCATCCACGCAAGTCTGCGCTTTGGCGACCTGCAACGCATTGACTTCTCCAGCCTATCGCTCTCCACTTCTGCATTGCACGGCACCTGCTGGGCTACGAAAACCACAGCGCAAGGCCAGCCTTTCGCAGTTACCCTCGCGGGTATCACTGGCCGGTGCAAGGCCACCTGCTGGACCTTGCACTGGCTCTCAGCATTGCACCGCATCGTGGCCTCCTCATCGGAAGATCCGCCGGATTTTCTGTGGTTCAGCACGGCACTAGACCACAGCTCGGTCGAGGAGCTTGCCCCAGCATCCTATTGCACCGCTCTGCTCAGCCTTAGATACCTGGCCACATTGCCATGGAAGGCCAGCGGCAATGGTCTCTTGCCCAGTGAAGCCAAACAACTCACCCTGCACAGCATGAAAAGCACCCTGTTGGCAGCTGCAGCACAGCTACGCGTTTACAAAGAGCTACGCCTGGCTCAAGGACACCACAGAGATAGCGCGAGGCTCTATAGCAGGAATGACACTTTCGACAGCCTAGACCTCCAGCATCGCCTCGCACAAGCATTCAGCACAGGCTGGCGACCAAACCGCAGCGTTGCCAGAGGAGGCCAAGCACCCATCCCAAAGCCTCCTTTTCACCTCCCAGCGGGGGATCCACTGCAAAGCATCACAGCTCAAGAAGTTCTGGCAGGTCCTTGGAAGGCTTTTGCATCCAGGCACGAAGAAATGCACGCCGCATCGCAACATCATCCGGCACCTACACAGCTTGACCCGGCAACGCAACAGGCCACGCAGAGCTCGCCAGACGTCATTGAGCAATTCTCGCCAGAATCGCCAGACCCCATCGCACCCTTCTCAGATGAAGAAGCCTGGATGGTGGAAAACGCGGCACTGCAACGCCAAAGCTCCGATTCCTCCAGCGAAGCATCGTCAGTGTCCTCCAAAGAACCCTTGCAAATAGACCTGGATGGACCAACGCCGCTCTTTGCATGCACAGGCCCTTGGGGCTGTTGGCACTCGCTTTGCCCCCCTGACGAGTCCGGCGTGCTGCGCACAGCATGCGGGATCAAGCTAGGCACAGCCGCCTTCACTTCTAACGCACCGCCACAGCCTCATTGCCGTCGCTCGGCTTGCGTCGCACTCCGCAATGGCGCTTGAAGAAAAAAGGAACCTCTTTCTTGCTGTGGCTTTACTTGCCGCATATCCTTCAGCTCTTGCCTACTCAGGTCGCTCTTCGGGTGCGCCGCTCTGGACCTGCCCTGCACCAGATGCCTTGTCACCGCCATCTTGCACCCGCAGCCGTTTTCTTGCTCGAACTACAGACTCTACTTTTTCGCTACTAGCCTGCAGGATGGAGTCTCCGGACGCACTGTCGGATCTCCTCTCACAGATGCAGGTGCCTGAAGCCCTTTGCAACGCACTGCACAAAACCGGCATTGAGTCGGTGCCCGATTTCGCATTTGCATATAACAGCACGGCAGACCTTGATGTGTTCTGCTCTGACAAATACGATGAGCTCTGGGATGAATTGGGCGTCTCAGACCCAGAGCACTGCCCAGCAATGGCGCGCCTTCGCCGAGCACTCCGCCGTGCACAATCCATGACGGAAGTGGCAGACACCCCCGCCTCGCACAGCACCGCCAGCACAGCCCAAGCGTCGCTTAACGTATGGGCGGAACACGCCCCGCCCAGACTGGACGCATCCAGCATTGCACAGCTCGTCAAGGACTTTCGCACTAACTACCCTGGTGAACACCTTGACAGCGATGCGATGCCCAGCGTGCGCTTGCTTAGCATAATCCATCGTTGGTTTTCTCCAGGGAACACCATTAGCTGGGTACCCTGGCAACTCCGACTTTCGGAGAAGCAATATCAAGAGCTCATAGAGAGCAAAGCATCGCGCACCATCCGCACCGAAGCAGCCTTCCTCAGCACAGCACTGTTTGATGACACACCGGAAATGCCGGTTGATCATCTCAGGCTTAGCGCCGCATGGCTTGGCAGAGTTCAAACAGTATTCCGCAACGCCATAGCACTGTGCAAAGGAGCGCACCTGCAGCGCCTTAAGGCATATGACAAAAAGATTCTTGATCTGGCGACGCAATCGCCAAGCGACGCATCGCTCCGCACCGTCACCACGCAAGAGCTTGTCGCAGCTGACCGCAAACTGTGGCGCGAGATCTCGCTTTTGCACAGCGCCGGTTGGACACTGGATGACGCCCTGCATGAAATGACAAGCATCCGCTCGGACATTGGCAACCTCCTCCAGCTGCGTGCTCGGCCGCCTCCCCCCCCGCAAAAGCCACCTCCTCGCCTACCGAACAAAGGCAACGGCAAAGGCAAAGGCAAGGAGAAAGGGGGCAAAGGCAAGCAAGGCACACAGCCAGGCAAAAGGCGCACTCCCGGCGAAGGCACAGCACAGGAGGTCAAGACAGCGGACCTCGTGCAACAGCACGGCAACAAGACCTTCTGTATTCGTTACAATAAAGGGCACTGCAAGAACGCGCAGTGCAAATATCTTCACGCATGCGCATACAAAATGCCTAACGGTGAGCCTTGCGGCAAAAGTCATCCCGCCTGCCAGCACCGCAACCCCCAGGAGCCGCCTAGCTCCTGAAAACCGCAGCTGGAACTGGCCGGGCAGGCCCAGTTGCCCTCGCCTACTCTCCCGGCTGCACAGACTCCAGCCGCCACGCATGGCACACCCACAACGCCTGCAGACGTACCTGCGGCACCGGCAGGACAGCATTGCCCAAAAGCACAGCAACCAGAAGCTACTCCTTGTACGCATAGCCCAGCACAAATGCAAGAAGACAGCCCTTCGCACAGCTCCGAATCCAGCTCATCAGAAGCAGAAGATGCCGGGCCTAAGACATCCAAGCATAGATTCCTGCTGCACAGCATAGCGGAGGACCCGTTCAGCTGTGACCGGTTCTGCTACCAGGCCATGGCACAGCACAACACTATAGAAGATGAACTTTACTCTGCCTGGCATAGCCTCGTCTGGTCGGGAGCGGTCGGAGCAACACTGCTCCTGTTCCCTGCACATTCGCTTGATTTGGCATCGCACACCAGATTATGCGCGCTTCTTCGGGCAGCGCACCTCCAAGGCAGTCAGGTCTTTTTCGAGTACCCCAGGCACTGCGATGACGAGATTGCAGACCTGTACACACAGCTGTGCCAAGAGTTAGCAGTGCACTGCATACAAATGAAGCTGCCCCAGAGCGACGCCTCGCACATCATTTGCTCCACGCATGCAGCACTGGCAAGCGCAACACAGCAAGCTGATCCATACCAGCACATGCTCGCTCTTGCAGCGCAGGAGTGCACATCGCACCTCAATGCCCCTATCCAGCCAGCAATGCTGCAAAAGCATTTGCCGCGCTGCTTTCTGCCACGCAGGCCCGCGGTCTGCGATGGAGCAGGCATGTTCAGCACTGCAGATCACTCTGCCAATAATGTAAGCAGCAAGCCCAAGCCCCTAGCAAAGCTAGCCTCTGCCTTTAAGCAATACCTCACTAAACACGGCCTCGTTTCGCATATTTCTAAGCACCTACAGTCAGGGCAAGACTCGCACCCGCTTAGTGAAGACCATCGCAACGCCTTGGCAGACATTGTGCATCAGACCATGGCACCCAACATCGACAAAAACCAGTTCCTCCGAATCTCGGACGGGCAGCCCTTCCGGCTCACAGCACTGCAATACCTGGCACAAGCCATTCATGATAAAGATGCACAGCTACCCATCATCCTCGATGAGGGAGTACCTACAGGTGCTTTCGGAGCACTGCCCAGCAGCGGGCAGTGGCCCACAACGCAAAGCTCTTTAGACTTTGCAGACGACTTCAGCCCTGCATCCCTCGAGCACTGCAGGGGGAATTGGTTCCTAGCGGAAAGCAACCCCGCACTGCTGCAAGAGCTAGTGGAGGATGAAGTGCGCAAAGGCTTTGTCGCAAAGTTCGAAGGCACCGAAGAAGACGCAAAGCGCCACTGGCCGCAGGGCACTGCAATCGGCAAATTAAACATTGTTATGGCCGAAGGACGCGACCCACGCCTGGTCCTTGACAGCACTGTGTGCGGGTGTCACTGCCCAACGCCTCGGACGTGCAGCGCACATTTTTGTCAGATGACTGCTACGCACAGCTTCACGCACTGTCACTAGACTTTAAGGCAGCGCACAAATGCTGCAAAGTCAGCCCCGCAGACCAAGGCACCCTGCTGTTCCGAGTTGGCAGCTCCCTGTACTACTACAAGGTTTGCCACTTCGGGGCGCGCTTCTCGGCATATTGGTGGCAACGCACAGGTAGCCTTCTACTGCGCTGCATACATGCGCTGCTCTGTAACTACCCGCATCGAGCTTGGCTTTACGTCGACGACCTCCTGGCCCTGCTCCGCACAGCTGACAAAGACATGGCCACCGCACTGATAGTTGCACTGCTTTCAGCCCTGAACGCACCCATCAGCTGGAAGAAGGCTCAGTTCGCCCAGGAAGTCACCTGGTGCGGGTGGACCATTCGCACGGACGCAGAGACCATTGAGCTCCGCGAACTCAAATTGCACAAGCTCCGCGAGCAACTCATTGCACTGCAACGCAAAAGCAAAGTGCAACGCAAGGAGCTGGAGGGCGTACTAGGCCTACTTAATTGGGCCACCTCCCTAAGTAAACACATGCGCCCTTTCATGGCACCGCTCTACAAAGACCTACACAGCTGCAGAGGCACACTGCACAGCATTTCACCGAGCATGTGGGGCACCTTCCTAGATTGCCTGGACAACAACGCAAAGCTCACCCGCACGCCAGCAGGCTCTTGGCTGCCACGCAATGCCCAACTACTTGAGGTTGGCAGCCTCAAAATAGCAAGCAAAGCAGATGTGCCCCTTGTGCCGCCCTCGCACAAACACCAATGGCTAAGGCTAGCTGACCCGCACCGCTCTGAAGTTCACCTTCGCCACGAAAGCAAATTCGTTCTGGCATGGCTGCAGCATTGCTTTGCGCATGAGCAGCCTCGCTCGCTGCGCACAGCGCCACGAATGCACTGCTACAGTGCGGCGGATGCATTCGCAGATACGCACCGCATGGGCATTGGAGGATGGATCAGCACTGCCGACGCCTTCCTGTGGTTCAGCGCCATCTTCTCTGCAGAGGAAGTGCGCAAGCAATGGCCGCAACTGCAAGGCAGCCTGCAGCCTTACATTGGCTGCTTTGAATCGCTCGCACAACTTGCACTGGCACAGTGCTCCTGGCAACTGCTACGCAGTAAACAGATCCGCTTTGTTCTGCCCACGGCATCTGACAATACCAGCGCAGAGTCTGGCCTTAATAAGCTTTTCAGCACGGCAGAGCCCCTAGGGACTTTCCTTCGCCTGGCGGCCACCTGGGCGCATCTGCACCGCGTGCAGTTTGAGGTGGAGCACCTCGCTGGCGAGAAGAACGTTTGGGCAGACAAGCTCAGCAGGGGCTCAACTGCCTTTCTTCAGCATCGCACTGCTGACAAAGTTGAAGTCACGCTAGCGCAACTAGCATCCGCATCGCACTGGGTCACATTACATGATCACGCACTCGCTTGGCCGCAACGGCTACTAGACGCTCAGCACGCAATGCTTAAATGATGTAAAAAAAGAGTGGAGTGACGCCTCTCTCTTCCTCTCTTTCAGTGAGAACAGCCTTGCTTTTCACGCTCTTCATTTCTCACGCCCTGCCTCGCCAGGTACATCCGCCAACTCGCGCGGTGAGGGGCTTTTACAGCAGAGGTTGTCGAAGTGCACCTAAAGTGGGGGTTTGCTCGGCATCGCTTGCCGCTTTCCCTTGCGAGCAATGCCTCGCTCTGCACTGCACATTCGAGCAACCTCTGCGGAAAAATAGAGCGTATGCAGTTCGCACTGCACTTAGCGTTGAGAACAGTTAGGAGAACGCTTGTTGTGAGTTTGTGTTTTTGATTCAACTGTGTTTTCTTATCTGTGTCGAAACCTTCAAACGCTCCGCGCTGCTTTCGGCACCAGCACTCACAACTAGTGTTCGCTTTCTTGCATCGCATGCATAAGAAATTTTTCACCCACCCTCCACGCCCTTGGGGGTTTGCTCGGCATCGCTTGCCGCTTTCCCTTGCGAGCAATGCCTCGCTCTGCACTGCACATTCGAGCAACCTCTGCGGAAAAATAGAGCGTATGCAGTTCGCACTGCACTTAGCGTTGAGAACAGTTAGGAGAACAAAGTTTCCAACACCATCGTGACGGGAGCGCGAAATACTATCGCTACCCAGCTTGATGGAAATAAGGTTTTGCCGAGAGCTTTGGCGCTCTGTAGGGGTCAAGAGAGCTTCTGGGGGGGGCTTGCTTGTGCGGTTGCGGGGTTGGTTGTGCCCGCTTTTGAACGGTTCTCTGTGCTTGGGTGACGAGACTCACGCAGTCAACGCTCGGCGTGGTGGCCTGCCGGTAAAGCCACCCTTGTCACCTGCTCAGTTGCCTGTGCAGCATGATCGGGCGCCCTGGTGCCTTAGCAGTTTCTCCAAAGGTTCGAAGGCCAAACCTTTCACTCGACCCAGAAGTAGGTCAGGAGGGCTTGTTCATGCACGCAGGTAGGTTGGAGGTCAGGTCGCGCTGCCGCAAAGGTTAGGGCCACACAGGTCAAGAGGCAGGTCTTGCTGTGCTGCACGCCGCAAAGCTTCCAACATCATCGTGACGGGGGCGAAATACTATCGCTACCCAGATTGATGGAAATAAGGTTTTGCCGAGAGCTTTTGCGCTTTTTAGGGGTTGGGCATCCGTCCCACCCTTTGGCTGAGCCCTTCTAAAAATTTAGGCCGCTGCACAGGGTTAGTTAAGATTTAGGGCAGGTTCCTAACCCGATAAGCTGAAGCGGTGGTGCTTGGTATAGCCAAAGGGTAGGGGATCCCAAAACCTGCAGAGGTATCATAGCCAAGGCCTCAAAATCTACGGCTTGTTTCGCAGGAGGCGCCTAAGTAGGCGTATCGGTGGCTCTGGGACGCCCGCCTCCATGCTTGCCTTTTGACGTCTGCATACGCCGCAAAGCTTCCAACACCATCGAGACTGGATTGCGAAACACTTTCGCTACCCAGCAGAATGGAAATGAGGTTTTGCCGAAATCTTTTGCGTTTTGTAGGGGTTGGGTACCCGTCCCACCCTTTGGCTGAGCCCTTCTAACAATTTAGGGCGCTGCACAGGGTTAGTTCAGATGTAGGGCAGGTTTTTCAGCTTCTCAAGTTCAAACGGCTGTCCTTGGCAGTGTAGCCCTAGGGGGAGGGCTCCCAAAACCTGCAGAAGAGGTATCATAGCCAAGGCCTCAAAAATCTACGGCTTGTTTCGCAGGAGGCGCCTAAGTAGGCGTATCGGTGGCTCTGGGACGCCCGCCTCCATGCTTGCCTTTTGACGTCTGCATCGGGCGGTGCCTTTGCCCAACGGGGCAGGGTCGCAGTTAGCAAGCGCGAGAACGCTGCTTCTCTTTCGGCCTCGGGTTTGGCCTCTGCTTTGTCGTTGCTCGGTTGTCGCCGCCCGAATTGGTCGTGACATTTCGGTGAAGGTTGCGGTTAGTAAGAGCGAGAATGCCGCTTCTGCCACTTCTGCATGCCCGCCTCTTAACGTCTGTTTCGGTCTGTGCCTTTTCTCAACAGGTTGCAAGGTTGCAGTTAGTAAGCGCGAGAACGCTGCTTCTCTTACGGCCTCGAGTTTGGGCTCTGCTTTGTCGTAGCTTCGTCGTCACTGCTTGGCATTGGCCGCGCATCGGTTCATGTTGCGGTTAGTAAGAGCGAGAACGCCGCTTCTGTCACTTCTGCACGCTCGCCTCTTAGCGTCTGCTTAGGTCCGTGTCTTTTCTCAACTGGTTGCAAGGTTGCAGTTAGTAAGCGCGAGAACGCTGCTTCTCTTACGGCCTCGTGTTTGGGCTCTGCTTTGTCGTAGTTTCGTCGTCACTGCCTGGCATTGGTCGCGTCACCTTCGGTATATGTTGCGGTTAGTAAGAGCGAGAACGCCGCTTCTGTCACCTTTGGCTGGCCACTCACTGCCTGGGTGCCTTCACCTTACGTCGCCCGACCGTGGACTTTGGACTTGTGGATTTTGGTGTGCGCGATCGTGACGGAACAAAACACAGGGGTTGTCCGTTGTCTGGCGAGACTAGAACGGCAACCGGAGCCTGGACTTGGCTCCACCTGTTGTTTTGGGCAGCTCTGAGCGACGGCTCTTTGTTGCTCCTGACCGGTCGCTGAGGCTCCGTAATTTGTGCTGAACGGCTAACACCGGCAAAGCCTGTGCGCCGCAGCCCTTGGTAGAGCTTCGCTTTGCTGTTTCACCGCTTTGTTGTAGTTTGATGCTTGGTTTGTAGTTTCGCTTGTTTGTAGGGACCGAGTGCTACAGCCGTAGTCGACGAGGCCCAGTCAAGCCAAAAAATTATGGCAGCAATTGAAGACACTACTCGGAGGTGAGAACTAACACGATGGACAGGTGAAGGGGCGAGCGACGTATGTCGCAGGCAGACGGCGAAGCTTGGTCCAGGGACCGCTTAAGACAAGTCCTAAGAACTTTTGCGGCTTTGTGGCTTCTTCTTCTTTTGTGTTTGGTTCATTTGTTTCATTATATCTGCTTTTCTCAATTTGTGGCTTCTTCTTCTTGCTTTGTTGTGTGTGTGTGTGTGATTGCGTGCGGGGCTTGTAATTGTGTTTTGTTTTATTAAGTTTGCTTTTCTCATTTTATTTTCTTTGCAAAAACTCCCCCACAAAACGATTTTGTGTGGCTTCTTCTTTTTGTTTTGTGTGTGTGTGTGATTGCGTGGAAGGCTCAAAGGGCAGCTTAAGGGGGGCTTTCCGGAAGGCTTAAAGGGGGCTTAAAAAGGGGGGCTTAAAGTTGAGTTAAAGGCTTAAGGAGGGCTTGAACGGCTTGAAGGAAGCTTAAGGGCTTAAAGGGGGGCTTTAAAGGGGCTTTAAAGACCCTTTGCCGCCCCCCCGCTTCCTGAAGAGAGACCCTGTAAAGAGGCCTGATGGAGGCGTGCTTGGCAGCTAAAGGCGTAGAGGTGGCCGACGACCCTGCCCCTTATTGTACAATGCTGGAGTGTCACTGCACGAAAGGGCAATCAGATTGTCCTTGGATGAGAGCCGCTAAGGAAGCTTCGTTGTCAACGAAAAGCACAACGTTACAGTGCTGAAGGTTAGGGATTCGGGTGGCACCTAAAACCGCGGCAAGGGTCTCTAGCTCCTAGATCAAGGTAAGCTTGCCATCAGGGTTGATGAGCGCAAGGTCCCTGGAGGTGACTATTTCACTAAACCAGGCAAGGCACAGACCTTTAAAGCTTGATCGTTGTAGAAAGCGTCAGTGAACAATACACCTGTCGCAGACTTGAGTCTACACACCTTGGTTTGCCAAGAACTACACGGTCCGCGCCCGGTCTCACTTGCCGACAAGCGTGGCAGCGGAGCTCAAGGTTGCTTCTTAGAACCATGGACCCACAAGCCGAGCCCAGCCGCAACCGTTCTTTTGGGGGACGGAGTACAGGCAGAAGTGCAAGCCGTGCCAGTGGAGTTTCCTCTGGCTTTCTCTCAACTCCTTGTGAGTCGAGCGCACCGGGCTCGCGGACTTGTGGAAGGTCCCTCCCTGTTCGGAACGGGCTGCTCTTTTTTTTCGACCCCGAAATATCTTTTTTCAGACCCCGCGCTTGGTCCATCTTGATTTCGACCCCGGCATGTTTTTTTTTCGACCTCCATCTTTTCTTCAGCCCCGCGACGAGGTCTAGAAAAAGATTACGATCTTTTTTTCAACCTCCACTCTACAATTTAAGCCGTCTTTTTCTCGGCCCCGAAACATCTCGTAACTAACCCCGTGTCTTTTTTCGGACTGCAAACTGAAGACCCCAAGATGTCTTTTTCAAGACCACGCGATCTTTTCTGCTTTTCGTTGGACATCCGCGGTCCAAAAAAAGACCTTGATCTTTTTTCGGCCCCAAGCAGAGGCCAGAAAAAAGACAAGTTGGAGGCCGGAAAAAAGATCCTTTGTTTGTTTAGCCCCTAAAACCGATTTCGTGCTTCTTCTTCTGTTTGTGTGTGTGTCAGAAGTTATAGTATGGTTAAGTTGGTTTTTGTGCAGTTTGCGTTGCAAAATTCATATTGCGGCGCTCTTTGTTGTGTTGTTTGATATGTCATGTGTGCGTGCTTCTATCTTTGGAGAGGTCAGAAAAAAGACATTAGAGGCAGCACGATGGGGGACTGTGATCTGCAAAGAGCACGGCCGAAGTTGAGGCTTGGAAACACATACATGTTGGGTGATTTATGTACCGTTGCCAGATCCTGCACCACAGAAAACTTGACAGCAAAATTGCGGTGTCCATGTGAGCATAATGCAATCCAATTGTCTCCACCACCGAATCGTGCGAAGTCCACACACGACTGCAAGTCGGGTAACATACTTGCGCACTGTTCAGGAGTGCAATCGTCTGCCATGCACAGCCTCAAACAAATGAGCTGCATGAACAAACACCGGCGCCATTGCATGCTTGACATGTGGCGGCGTGTGCTCAGCATGTCAGAGTATTACGATGAAATCCGTTGGCGAGATGAGCATTCATGGGCGAAGATGGTTTTTCCACCAGCTTTTCCACTGTATAATGAATGCCTCGCATGCGTGCAGTTGTGCTCAAGAGTGCCTCTCCAAGATGAAAGTGGACACCCTGTCGCGAATCTGTCTCGCAAGGCCCGGATTGGGATTAGCATGATGAAAGGTGTGGACGGGTCCTTCAACCAACTCAAGGATCGGCTGACAGTCCTGCACTTGTGCATTGGAGTTCTTGAACGTGTTTGAAACCTGCGAGCCTCGAATATGGCCGCATAATTTCCTCTCAAGCTTTTCAGGAGCCAGCTAGGACATGGGACGCCCAGCGCTGGGGGTTTCTTATCTGGTGTGGCACCTGTGTGGATTCTTAGGCGGCTATCTCTCCAGCGATCTGCTTCAGGGATACCAGGTGCAGCGGGAGCTCAAGGAGACCACCGAGACTCTGGCCCGTGCTGCATCGCAAGCGGCGGCTTCTCGCTGTATTGACGCGCTGGAGCAGGTGTGTTGCATAGAAGATCATAAACCACGCTCTGGGCAAAAGCGTCCTGCTGGGCCCAAGTCTTCGGCCTCATCGGACTACGCTTGGGTGTGGGTTTTGGTCGCTACTTTGTGCAACTGGCTTATCGGAGGGCTGGTTTCGCTGTGCTACTTCTGTTGTCGGCGAGTCCCAGCCGTGGTCGAGATTGAAGAAGAAGAGGAGTCGCCTGGCTCCCCGGTGGAGCAACGAGCCTTGGCCCAGCAGCAATTGGCTGCCTTGCGCCTGAGACGACATGACATTGGTCGATCGACGGGTTCTGCTGTTATATGATGTGCCTGGCCCGGCGCTATGGCATGAGAGGTTAGTACTGCAACATGCCGTCGACGAGGACTACGCGGTGGTAACTCCGGACCGGGACATCTTTGTAGAGACTCTCTCTCTGGCGAATGATGATCTCAGGGGATTGCGCCTTTTGCCCATCGGAGGCGCTATGCCGGTGGGGCTCCGTGGGGGATCGGTGTATCGATTACCGGCCCTCACAGCGCTTGACATTGCTGGCTTCAAGGCACAGGCGGCCCCTGTGGTCGCGGCAGAGCTCGCCTTGAGGATCGGCGGGGCGGCTGCGCCAGTCGCTCCCGTCGCTGCGGCCGCTGGCGCTGATGGCGGCGCCGGGGGTGTGGCTGCACCGGTTGGAGCCGCTGATCCAGAAGACTTTTGCTGGGTGGCCGCGGAGGCGTCCGGGGGCTATAAGTTCGGGGACATTGTTCAAGGAGTCAATGTGGCGGCTGCCGATGGTGCTAAGGCTGTACACATGACAGCTCCGGGGGCAAGTTTGTTCGTCGCATGCATTCGTGTTCGTGATCGGGATGCTTTCCTTCGGCGCCCGGGTGGATGGGATCTTCGTACAGTCGAGCGAGTTGCAGAAGAGCTTGGTCGTTCTGAGGCCCCTTTGAAGGACGTTGTTAGCCAGTGTTTGGAGTCTCCGGTGCAGTGGGGTTTGTCAGGGCCGCGGACTGCCAGGTGGTGCCTCCAATACCTCATTGTCGAGGGGCTGGGACTTGAGGGGCATCATGAGAGGGTCAGACAGCTCTGCAAGGTTGACTCTTCGGCTTGGGGGATTCAGGAACATTGGCAGCTCAGCAACGTGATCAAGCATGCGCTCCAAACCGACCAGCTCAATGGATGCAATTTGCTTTCGCTTGAGGTCATGTTCCGCCGGCTTCAGACGATTGAATATGCTTATAGTGAGAAGGCCAAGGACAGTGAGAGCCGCGCGGTTGGAGGGCGTCTCTCCCTGGAGGAGCAGCAGACCTTCGGGGGCACCACCCGACTTGCCTCTACACTCATGGTGTGTCCGGAGCTTCTTGAGCACGTGAAGGCCGAGGTGGAACGGGATGCTTCTTTGGCAAAGAACCTCCGTAAAGCTCGCGAAGAGCGTGAACTTGCCCGCCGAAACGCCAAGAAGGGCGGCAAGGCGGGCGATGACGGCCAGTGATTGGCCCTGGGCTTGGCACTTGGGGGGATGCCGAGCCTGCTTGATCCACCCCCTTTGCATGATTTGCGGCGAAAACCTCGTGATCTGTTCCCTTTGCCCTTTCTTCAAGAATGTGGCCCTCCTTCGCGAGATGTTGGTCGAAAGTGTCAGCGTCGAGCCCTTCGGAGAGGTCATTTGGTGAAGGAGGCGAACTTGACTATCGCTGCTCTTAATTCAATGTACCAGGCCCCTGCCGAGAAGGACAGCTACTTGCGGGGGTACACTTTTGATGGGGCCTCTGAAGCTCAGCGGGAGGTCCAGGCTTTTGTCTATGACGCCGTTGTTAACATGGGCCAACCACCGGCCCTTTCTCACACAGGGGCGCTTCGGCTGCTCCGTGCGGCGGGCGGGTACACAGACGACCAGGCTGTGGGCACCGTCGCCGGCTATGATCCCGAGAAGGTCTCACTTCCAGAAGCAGGGTGGCAACCTATTCCTCTTTCTGATTTGTGGGGCCCAACCGGGCGGGAACGAGTTCATGACTTCGTTCGGCATCAGCTTCTGCCTCCGGATGAGGCGCAGGAGCAGGTTGCAAAGCTTGGGCTGAAAAAGCTCTACATGGATCCTCGGCTGAAGGATCGCAGGGTTTACACACGTTTTCTTCAGCGCATGCAGGCGTCGCACCTCGTGGATTTCTCTCTGAAAAAGCCCTGCGAGGAGGTCGCCGTCTTCTTCGTGACGAAGAAGGGAGACAGACTTCGACTCATAATAGACGCTCGGAGATCTAACGCTCACTTCCGTCCCCCTCAGTCTGTCAGCCTGAGCACTGCCGAGAGTTTAGGGTCGCTTGAGCTCGAGGGTGGCAAGGACTTAGTGGTTTGTCAGGCGGATTTGAAGGATGCTTTTTACCACCTCGAGCTCCCCTTCCAGCTTCGCGATTACTTTGGACTTCCGGGCGCCCGTGCAAAGGACCTCGGCATCACCACCGTCGGCGGGGTCAGGATCGATCAGGACACCATCGTTTACCCTCGCCTTTCAGTGGTGCCGATGGGTTGGAGCCATGCCCTTTACTTGTGCCAAAGCATTCACGAGTCCCTCGTTGAGCAGGCCGGCCTCGGTGACAGCAATCGGCTGCGTGATCGGCGTCGGGCACCCAACAGCCACTGCGCTCACACTCAGTACGTTGACAACCTTATCGTCATGGGTACCGCGGCGGCTGAGGTGAAAAGTCGGTTTTCTGCAGCGGTTCAGTCCTTGAAGAGTGCCGGGCTCCAAGTACATGAGGAGGAGACCTCAACAGGGGATAGCACCGTGCTGGGCTGGGAGTACACCGCGGGTGGCCTTTTCAGGCCCACTCGAAAACGGGCGTGGAAAGCCCGGTGTGCCATCAGAGAGCTTCTTCGACGAGGCAGGGCTCGTGGGGAAGTGGTTGAACGACTGCTCGGCCACCTCACGTTCCTCAGTCTCTGCCGTCGGGAGGCTTTGTCGGTGTTTGGTGAGATTTACAAGTTTGTCAAGGTGCATCGTCGATGCCCAGAGGAGGTTGTGATCCCTAAGAGCGTCTTGCAGGAGCTTCGCAACTGGGATGGGATCCTGCCCTTGCTCTTCAAGGACCTCCGTTGCGAGTGGGCGGAAGGCCTGTCAGCTGTTGATGCGTCCGAGTTCGGGCTCGGCATGACACGGGCCGAGTGCTCGGCGCAGGATGTGAAGAGACTGGGTGGGGTCGCTGAACGGTGGCGCTTCAAGGAGGCACTGCCCAACCCTCGGGCGGCGGCTTTCAGCACAGTGACTAGCCAATGCGAGGTGATGCCGCCCTTCGCCTTTGACGAGGACGAGGAAGAGGATCGCTTTCACCATCGGCGTGATGATTCCCAGTTTTCTCCTGTGCCCTTTGAGGATATCGATCGGGCTTGGACGACGACTGGGATGCATCGATGGAGACGGCCTCTCACTCTTCCTGTCGCTGAGGCCCGGGCTGCTTTGTACGCCGTGAAGCATTGTCTTCGAGCCGGTGGTAGTTTCGGTAAGAAGCATGTTATCCTTAGCGACTCTATGACGGCTACTTTGGCAATCTCTCGAGGGCGCTCCAAACATTACCACTTGAGACGCGTATGTCAGCAGGTTGCTTCACTTGCCCTTTGCACCGGCTCTCAGTTCTTCCTGAGGTGGATCCCCTCTGAGATGAACCCCAGTGACAACCCATCACGTGGGGAGTGGAAGCCGTCAGTTCCTAGCCGAGAGCCCAAGGACAAGCTCCTCGGCCATGCTCCTGCGGGGGCTCCTGGGCAACAGTGCTCTCACCATGGCCGATGGCAGCGTGGCCAAGAAAAGGAAACGGGCCGCTACGACATCGAGGGGGAGATCGACCACATCCTCGGCCACGGCGGGCCCAGCGCAGGCCTCCCTCCAGCTGGAGACGGAGACGATCCCCAGAAAACTGAAGAAGGAAAGGCGCAGGGCAGCGAGGCAAAGCATGAATCGGTCGTTGGAAAGCCACACTATTCTGCAACAGGCTTCCGTTTCTCCCGAGTGCCTAGCCAGGTACAAGAGACATTGGGAGGAGATGGAGCCAATGATGCTGGATGGACGCGGGCGTCTGCGGCCCCTTGCAAGAATCGATCAGGCCTTGGCCGAACACCTGGAGGATCTTTACCGGGACGGGGAGGATTTGGCCACGGCGCGGTATGCCGTGGCAGCGGCGCTCTTCTTCAGACCGGAGCTCCGGTCGCCGGCAATGACTCACCTTCCGAAGGTGAAACAGAGCCTGGCTGGGTGGAGCAAGTTGTGCCCTCCCAGGAGTCGCTTGCCCATACCGTACGCAGTGGTGGCCTTGCTAGCGCTGCATGCATTGAGCTTGGGCCTTCTGGAAATCGCAATCTACCTGCTCCTGACTTTTTCTCTGTACATGCGGCCGAGCGAGGGGCTCCGCCTCCGAAAGAAGGACGTAGTGAGGCCCAGCTCACGACAGGCTGGGTTTCAACACTGGTCGGTGGTGCTCCATCCCTTGGAAGTCGGCGTGTGCTCAAAGACGCAGGAGTTCGACGAGTGCCTGCAGTTGGATCTGCCCTACCACCAGCCGTTGGGACCGGCCACTTACAAATTACTGCGGCTACATCAGAAGCGAGGGGAGGAGCACATCTTCACCATCACGCTGGAGAATGTCACCCAGTTCCTCGAGCGGGCTCAGATCGAACTCGAACTCAAGGGTCTGGGGGAGCTGCAACCATATCGTTTGAGGCACGGTGGTGCCAGTCACGACTTCGTCAGCAAGCTGAGGGACCTGGCTTCCATTCAGATGCGGGGAAGGTGGAGATCTCAGAGCTCAGTGCGACGATACCAAAAAGGAGGCCGGCTGACTCAGCTGATGCAGACGTTGCCGCCGCATGTCAAGAGGGCCGCCGAAAGCGCCGTTCGAAAGCTTCCGGCGGCACTTGCTGGCCTGCCTTGAAACGGGGTCTTCCGGATCCACCCGTGTTCATTGAGATCTTTTGTGGCACTGCACGGCTAGCGCAGAGTGTCGCCAAAAGAACCGGTTGGCCTGTATTGCTATGGGACCTAAGCTTCGGTGATGCATACGACCTCCGCCAGCTGCAGGCTCAGCACAAGATCCTTGGGTGGCTTCGGGCAGGACGGTTGCGAGGCGGCCACCTTTGTGTTCCACGGCGTTCTTTCAGTCGGGCTCGTGATCACCCGCCAGGACCAAGGCCGCTACGGAGTGATGCTGCTCCTCTTGGTCTGCCAGGGCTTCCCACCAAGGACTTTGACAAGGTACGCGTCGGTAACACATTGATGCGATTCTCTGTTCGAGTGATGCAATCTGCACTGCACCAGGGCCTCCCTTTCACGCTTGAGAATCCCCGCACATCCAGGCTATGGCTATGCCCTCCTGTGCAGCATCTTTTACGAAAGCGCGGTACCCATATTTACATCACAGAATTCTGTATGTTTGGCACACCGTGGCGCAAATCCACCCAGTTTGCAGCAGTGCATGTTGATCTTTCAGTGCTTCAACATTACCGGTGCCTAGGCTCAAAACGCGGCTGCTGTCGACATTCTGGATGTCGACATGTTGCTCTTTCGGGTCGCAACTCAGAAGGAACTTGGCTCGCGAAAATTGCGGAGCCTTATCCGTGGCAGCTCTGCTCAATCATTGCGCAGTGCTTCTACAACTTCGAGGTCTCGCAGTTAGCTGAATCTTTTTGGAAACGGCTAAACCAGGGAGCAAGCTGATACGGGCTTGGCTGCTACGGGTTGTGGGTTGCAACCTTTTCTGTGCTCTCTGGCGCAAACGCTGGCAGCGGGGGCTTTAACTTCAGAGGCCTCCCTATGCCATCGACGACGCAGAGCTTTACACGTTGCACTCTGGCCAGAAAAAGCGAGATTTGCTGAGCGAAGTTTCATTGGAGTTCTTGAACGTGTTTGAAACCTGCGAGCCTCGAATATGGCCGCATAATTTCCTCTCAAGCTTTTCACCCTCCCACACCACCCGGGTTGTGGGTTGCAACCTTTTCTGTGCTCTCTGGCGCAAACGCTGGCAGCGGGGGCTTTAACTTCAGAGGCCTCCCTATGCCATCGACGACGCAGAGCTTTACACGTTGCACTCTGGCCAGAAAAAGCGAGATTTGCTGAGCGAAGTTTCACTATCTTGGTGGGATATCACTTGGACTTGGCTAGCATGGCAGATATCCACCACTTCCATGATGCGCATGCAGGCAACATTCTTATATCTCTTTCCAGCAAGTTGCCTGCGGTCCGCTGGCATGACTTTGCAGGCAATTTTGGATCTGCGGCTCGGAGAGTTGTTGCACAGACCTTCACCGATGGCTTTGCGAGACAGATTGAGGACTTTTCAGGCACGGTGATCAGCCAAATCCGTGGAATGCACCAAGGTTTTGCGTCGAGGCTAAACGAGACGCGCAAGACATGTAGCATGGTCGGAAGAGACATGATATGGGTGCGTCAGTGCCTGCGACAGCGCGCCTTCGACTTGGCATCCACAATGCTGAGTCTGAGCGCTTTGCAAACACTGGAGAAGCAGCGGCTCTTGGAGAGCATTGCACCTGCACTATCCGACTCGGACGCGAGGGTGTTGTGGCGACATTGGTCGGAAGGCACGAGGGAGTACGGGAGCTGACAAAAGGGAAGGTCAAAACTGTTAGATGTTTGAAATTTCGTTCAAGACCAGGCATCACCAGATCACTTGAAGCTGGAGCGGTGTGGGGGCGAGCTGGGAGAGCCGAGAAAGGGGGAGCAGAGAGCTGTCCGAAATTCGAGTTGCTCAGCCGTTGTAGGAGTTGATTGGCCAGAACGAGATACTAACCTTTGGCGTCCTGCGGGGCTTTGCAGGCACTGCCTCGGCGACATCCACCGTCGTCTGGGCGCGGGAGCTGATCTGCAAGGACTGTGCTGTGTGAAAGCAATTGTCGGTAACTGGAGCGGCGAGGAGAGCATGCTGTCTTGACAGCATCAATAGGCATCCGTAGCAGCATGCGGTGCTTGGGCGCGAGCTGGTGGGACGCGCCGTGTCGGCTGCCCATCGCGCGGGCCGCATCCTACCCCACTAAGAGGGGCCACTTTGTGGGGCACGGAATCTGCTCGCTGTTGGGAGTAAATGCTTCAGCGGCGACGACGGCCTCGGCGACGACGACGCGCGACGATTCTCGGCTTCGCGCTCGCTATGCCGGAGGGGCTGCTGTGCGAAAGTTGCTGTGACTCGTAGCTCTTCCTTTTACATTGCCTAGTAGAGGGCACTCGGGTAGGGTGTGGGAGCCGATCCGCGAGGACAGTGAGAACAAGTGTCAGTAGCGGGAGCGCAAGCCTGTAGCAGCGTGATGTCGCCGTGGGGGCGCAGCGGGCCGTCTGGTCGAAGGTGGGAGGTCGGGGCGGGGCTGTTCCTTGCTGGGAGTGTTTCTGCAAGTTTGCTGTCAGTTCATGTCTGCTGCAGTTTTGACCCACTCGCCGCACAGGATGGGACGGTCACCGCCAAGCCGACGCCCAAGGAGGATTCCGATTGCCGGTCGTTTTGGAGCAGCGCCTCTGCGCAGATAAGGTCTCGTCAAGAGGGCGAGGGTGAGCTGGAGCGGGCGTTCAAGGTGCAGTCTCGTGAGGCCATCCACACCATATCATGTGGAGTTGATGGCCGCTGGTGCTCAAACAGGGTGCGCAGCTCAATGATGTGGACGACTTGGCGATCGACCCGGCCTCGGCATGTTTCCTGTTGCTGCCTGTCCCGACATTTGCCCAAGTCACGAGGCCATCAAGCAGACGAAGTCTAAGGCCCTACGAGACGTTGATCCTGATCAAATTGACGTATATCTCTACTCAAAAGAAGCGCGGAGCCCCAGACTGCCTTTTCTGTTGGCTCCTTCCCTAGCCCTAGCCTCCGATGCTGGCAGGCTGGAGAGTGGCAACTCGTCAAATCCTCATCGACCTCACTTCGCCAGGACACCAGCGAGCCCAACCCTCGGCTCCGTGATCTTCCATTCAACTTCCGCATGACGGCATCACTGCTAGGCAAGATTGCTACGGCTTTTTGCCGCGACGGACTTGAAAGGCCGGGCGATGTGATTTGTGAAGGAAATCGGAGAATCAGTGCTCCATTTGCGTGCACTCACAGTCTGGCGAGTCGGGTACATCTGCATGCATGTATGCATGGATGGATAGATAGATCTGTGTGTGTGTTTCATGTTCATTTCATCTTTTATAAAGACGTTTAAAAGAGTTTGGACAGACACAGAAAACCTTGCAAAGCTTGCAATTTCATGCGCAGCGGCGTGAGGCACCTTGTTATCAGGGCACTGCTGTGTAGCCCGCAATAGGTGCTGTTGCCAGGTAGGGACAACTAGTCATATATTAAGTAATTAAGTGGTTTTTGGTTGTCCATGTCGTAGTATGAGTTGTGCACGAATTGCCCTTCAAAGGTCAACCTCACACGAAAATGCTCAAGACAATCTGGCGCAGCTGAGCGGTCGCCTCGGAGTGAAAACAGAAAATAGGATCCAAGCTCAGGACTTATACAGCCCTTCTTCGGCCGTGAGCGCCGAGTGGTGTAGTTTCTGTCATAATGCTTGATCATTAAGGCCAGGGCCTGCGGCGACGCGGTGCTTGCGTGGAAGACCTCCAGGGGCGCCTGGAAGCCCCGATGTCGGCATCTCAGGTGGAGCCCCGAAAGCTTTGGAGGTGTTCATAGAGGCCAAAGAATGCTAACGCTTGGAGGGCTGTGCTGCGCTGATTCTGGTGAACCGGATGGGGAGCAAAGAGCACTTCGAGTCGCCTCTCACCGCTCCTCTCCACGATCTCTGGAGCTTTGTCTCGGACCATCCGCCCATCGGGGTCCAAAATGCAGCTTGCGAGTGCGGAGCAGGGGGCCGAGGAGCTCGTGGAGGTGGCAGCGCTTTGATTTTCGCGCCACGCAGGCGCCGGAGTTTCTGGATCTGCTTCAGCCCGCGCTCGCCGAGTGCAACTGCAGAGCACGGCAGACGACCGGAGCCAGAAGAACCAGGAGGCGACCGGGGAAAAGAAGTCAGCTAAGAAGTCAGCTCTGAGTGTTGTCGGCTGCGGTTTTGTTTGGGGCTTCGGGGTTGCAGGGTTTCTTCCAAAATTTGGGTTTTTTGGGCGCAAAGCGGGATGTGTGGAAAGTCTGTGCCACGTCACTGGGAGGCTTCGCCCTCGGCATAGTGAAGCAGACTCTTCAACCATTCTTTTGATCGACAAGCATTCAGTGACTGACAGACAGTGCGAGAGAAACCAACAGTAGCACGGAGAGTTGTCGTCTGCTGGGCTGTCTGCGAGATTCTGTGAGTGCCGGCGGTTAAGTTCATGGCGCACAGACGTAAGATAAAGATTGAGATGATTGTGCCTTTTGCAGCTTTCGTAGCCGGACGCGCTGTCGTTCGTCTTGTGATGCTACTTGTAGTTGGGCTCCAGCCCCAAGACGATTCGAATATGTGAAGGGACGTTCCGTAAGCGAGAGAGTTTCTGGCAGCCGGGTGCGAGAGTATTCAATTCAGTTCAAGCCCAAAATACCTTTTGGCCCTTGGATTTGTTCAACTTGTGATTGCAGCCTGAGGTCTTGACGCAACATCTGCAGCTTGCGCACATGTCCCCTAGCTTGCATGAAGTAGCAATACGGCACTGCAAAACTATCCGCCCCATCCCTAAATCTCAACCTTAAATCTGAAATCCTAAATCCTATCTGCCCCAAAAAACCCTTACAGTAAGCCCTAACCCTTAGCTTCAAGGCCCTAAATCCTAAATCCTACACCTTTAAAAGTCTGGAAGGAATGCAGTAGAGACGAAGGTCAGCAGCGCTGGGTGAAGCTGGCCGAGGGAAGAGCCCAATATAGGGGCCGAATTAATTACCTATGTAGTATAATTAGGAGCCTTTAGGGATACTATAAGGGATCTATAATCTATAAGGGTACGATAATGTAGGGTCCTTAATCATTACCTATACAATTGCTTAGATAATTATCAATATTCTGTTGGGTTCCTTATTACTCTAAACCCTACAATAATACGACTGTGATAGTTCGAGCCTTCCTCGATGGCGCTTCCCGGCTGGATGCAGGGTGAGATGAAGCTTGCGAGGCTGGGTGCATCATAGATGAGATTCATCGATGAGTTTTGCTGCAGAGAACTGTGAACGCGAAGCTTTACCTTTCTGGGCACCTTTGGGTGAAAGGGGTCGAGGGAGTCTTCAAAAAGCTGGAGATGTAGATGGAGCCCGAAGCCCAAAGCGGGAATTCCGCGCAGTTCTGCCGCAGGTACTCTCTGCCGTTGTCGCCGACCTGACAGAACGCCTGCTGTTACACAGGTGCCGGACGTAGGCATAGGGTTTGAACTGATCAAGCAGGGGTTCAGGATTGGGCATTTTATCATGGCTGCACAGCTGCCACCGGTAGCGGTAGCAGCCCCTGTCTAACACACCGAGTCGAGCACTGCTCTTTGCGAACAAAAGCAAAACCCTGCTGCCTTCGTGCCCAAGTCGCCAGCAACGGTCTTGTGCAAAACTACAGGCTTACACTGATCAAGCAGTTTTTTTATTCCTTTCCGAAAACTTTTTTCAGAGAAAGTGTTGTGCCGTTTTTCAAAGACTGCCACCACATCTATGTACGCCAGAGCGACTCCGTGACATTTCAGGATCACGCGTCAGTGGTGGCACCATGCACGAAGTTATCTCTGCTTCGAGCTAAACCCTAAACCCTAAACCCTGTTGTTCCCAGGAGTGGGTCATGGTGACAGCTCTCCCGCGCCCTGGTAACTCCCGCCGCCTCCCAGAGCCAACCCAACCGCATCCAACAGCCTTTCTTGCTGTGCTTCCTCTTCTGGTAGTAAAGCTGGATGTATTTGATGGCATGTTTTTTTTCTTTTTGTGTGTTTAAGATCTGGAATCGCTTATAACGCGAGTTTTGGACACGCTAGTCGCGCTTGCGGCCTGGCGATGCTGTTAGTCGGGAAGTTGTAGACTGAAAGTAGCATTGCTTAAGAGACCGAAAGTACCTCGGGTGTCACGTGAAACAAGATCCATCATGGGATTGTGAAGCTAGTGAAGCAACCCTTCGTATGACAAGTCGCGATAAAATGTGATATGATATGCAAAGAGAGTGATATGTCAGGGCATGATCTGCCATGGCTTGATGTGACTTGGCATGACATTGCATGACGTGCCATGATTCGACATGCAATGCTATGATGTGATGCGCTTTGATATGGTATGATAAGAAATGGCAAGAAACGGGACGTCATTATCCCCCACGATCCCCCCGCCCCCAAGAAAACAAGCAAACGTAGGCTTCTCGCAAACATCACGAGGCACACCTGCAACATCAAGCCTAGCCGCTTGTTGGAGCGAACATCACCACAGAGAGCTGCAGCATCCAGAGTAGCAGAGTGAAGGTGCATGGCAGCATCAACATGAGACAAGTCACCGGCCACGATCTTCGAAAACAGGATGTCATTACCACCCCCTCTCACCTGTTGCACATCTGATTGCCATTATGGCCCCTTCCCAATCGCGTCAGATCGAGAGAGTCAGGACCTCCCATCTGCTAAAAAAAATCGGACTCTTCGCAACTTCGTGTTCATTATTTACAACTTCTTGGCTGCTCTTGGCTGCACATTCCAACTGTACCG